CAGAGTCTGCTCTGTCACCCAGGCTGCTGGAGTGCGGCACAATTTCAGCTCACTGCAACTTCCACCTTCAGAGTTCAAGCAATTCTCCTGCCTCAGCCTCCCAAGTAGCTGGGATTACAGGCTCACACCACGACACCTAGCTAATTTTTGTATTTTTAGTAGAGACGAGGTTTTGCCATCTTGGCCACGCTGGTTTCAAACTCCTGACCTCAAGTGATCCAGTGCCTCGGCCTCCCAAAATGTTGGGATTACGGGCGTGAGCCACGGCACCCAGCCACCTCTCTTCTTCTTCCACTTGGAGTTTCACCAACTGCATGAAGCTGTTGATGAGGACACACACATTTAAATGCACTCATAAGGCTGGGCACGGTGGCTCACACCTATAATCCTGGCACTCTGGGAGGCCGAGGTGGGTGGATCACAAGGTCAAGAATTCACAACCAGCCTGGTCAATACAGTGAAACCCCATCTTTATTAAAAATACTAAAAAGTAGCTGGTTATGGTGGCACGAGCCTGTAGTCCCAGCTACTCGCGAGGCTGAAGCAGGACAATCGCCTGAACCCAGGAGGTGGAGGTTGCAGTGAGCTGAGATGGCGCCACTGCACTCCAGCCTAGGCAATGGAGTGAGACTCCGTCTCAAAAAAATAATAATAAATTTTTAAACAGGCACTCATAAAAGCTTCAAAATGTTTGTGTAATCCTTTAGGAAAACAGATCCAAACAGTGACAACAGTAATTTAGCACAGTAATTTGAAACTTAACCACCATCTTCACTGCCTACATAAACTAAAAATAGGGCATAGAGGCATACCTCATTTTATTGTGCTTCCCTTTATTGTACTTCACAAAAACTGCATTTTTACAAATTAATGGTAACCCTGTATCAAGCAAGACTATTGGTGCCATTTTTTTCCACATCATGTGCTTACCTCATGTCTGAGCCACATTTCGGTAATTCTCACAGTATTTCAAACTTTTTCATTATTATATCTCTTACGGTAACTTGTGAACATTAATCTTTGATGATACTACTGTAATTGTTTTGGGGGACCATGAACCATGCCCACAGAAGATGGCAAACTTAACCAATAAATGTATGTATTCTGACTGTTCAACCAACTGGCTGTTCCCCTACCTCTCTCCCTTTCCTTGGGTCTCTCTATTCCCTTAGACATAACAGTATTGAAATCAGGCCAATGAATAACCCTCCAGTGGCTTCTGCAGTGTTTAAGTAGAGCAAAGATCCACACGTCTCTCACCAGAAATCAAAAGCTAGAAATGTTAATCATTTCTAGTAAGGAAGGCATGTCAAAAGCTGAGACCAGCCAAAAGCTGGGCCTCCTGCACCAGTTAGCTAAGTTGCAAACGCAAAGCAAAATTTCTTGAAGGCAGTTAGAAGTGCTACTCCCAAGAACACAGGAATAACAAGAGAACAAAATAACCTTATTGCTGATATGGAGAAAGTTTTAAGGTAAGTAAAGAAAATCAAACAAGCCACAGCATTCCCTTAAGCCAGAGCCTAATCCAGAGCAAGGCCCTAACTCTCTTTAAGTCTAGAGTTAAGTCTGAGAGAGAAGAAAGTTTGGAAGGTAGAAGAGGCTGGTTCGTGAGGTTTAAGGAAAGAAGCCATCTCCCATGGAGGCTGAGGCAGAAGAACTGCTTGAACCTGGGAGGTGGAGGTTGCAGTAAGCCGAGATCATGCCACTGCACTCCAGCCTGGTAACAGAGCAAGACTCTGTCTCAAAAAATAAAAATAAAACACACACACACACACACACACACACACACATTTCATATAGCTGTCATACATAGTGATTCCTCTTAGGGATCTGGGCAAATTAAATTGAAAACCTTATGGAAAGGATGTGCCATTCCAGATGCCTTTAAGAACATTCATGATTCATGGGAAGAGGCCAGAATATCAATATTAACAGGAGTTTGGAAGAAGACTATTCCAATCTTCATGGATGACTTGGAGGGATTCAAGACTTCAGTAGAGGAAGTTACTGCAGATACGGTGGAAGTAAGAAAAATGGAATTAGAAGAGCAGCCTGAAGACGCGCCTGAATTGCCATAGTCTCATGATAAAACTGGAACGCATGGAGAGTTGCTTCTTGTGGATTGGTATGATTTGGCTGTGTTGCCACCCAAATCTCATCTTGAATTGTAGCTCCCATAATTCTCACGTGTTGTGGGAGGGAAATGGTGAAAGATAACTGAATCATGAAGGTGGTTTCCCCCATACTATTCTTGTGGTAGTGAACAAGTCTCAGGAAAGCTTATGGTTTTATAAGGGGTTCCTCCTTTCACTTGACTTTCATTCTCTCTGGCCTGCCTCCAAGTAAGACATACCTTTTCTCTTCCTTTACCCTCTGTCATGACTGTGATGCCTCCCCAGCCATGAAGAACAGTGAGTCCATTAAATCTCTTTCCTCTATAAATTACTCAGTGTCACATGTCTTTATTAGCTGCATGAGAACAGACTAATACATGGACGAATTAGGAAAACAGTTTCCTGAGATGGAATCTACTCCTGATAAAGATGCTATGAACACTGCAGAAATGACAACAAAGGATTTAGAGTACTACATAAACTTACTTGATAAACCAGTGGCAGGGTTTGAGGATGGATTCCGATTTTGAAAGAATTATGGATAAAATGCTATCAAACAGCAGTGCATGCTACAGGGAAATCTTTTGTGAAAGGAAGAGTCAACTGATGTGGCAAACTTCACTGCTGTCTTTGGAAATTGCCACAGCACCTCCACCCTCTAGCAACTGCCACTGTAATCAGTCAGCAGTCTCAACATCAAGGCAAGACCCTCTACCAGCAAAAAGATTAAGATTCCTTGAAAGCTCAGATGACCATTAAAATGCTTAGCAATAAAGTATTTTTAAATGAAGGTATGTACATTGTATTTTTAGACATAATGGTACTGCATGATTAACAGACTGAAGATAGTGTAAACATAACTTTTACATGCACTGGGAAACCAAAAAAATTGTGTGGCTTGCTTTATTGCAATATCTGTTTCATCGCAGTGGGAAAAATTTCTTAGGTATGCCTGTAACTTGAATGGGGACTTTGCTAGAGATGCAAACAATATACCCTTAGTCTCTTTACCCAAAATGTTGCCCTTCCAATTAACATGATTTTGTCTTATGCCCCGTTTCTAGGAACACATCAAGGATTTGAGAAATAGGCGTGAACAACTCATACCTCCACCAGGAATAATTGCCAATTTTGTTTCAACCAGGCCCATTTTTGCAGAGGAAGCTAAAATGAAAGAAAGAAAATTAAGTATCATCCATATCAACACATTCAAATATGACTACTTGAAAAAGTTATGAGATACACTAAAAATATTATTTACTAAACTGATATCACAAATTCTTAAAAAATCACTTCTAAAGCATTGTTATGGAAATAAGTAAACACTCTAAATGACATATAATAGGAGAGTCACACAACATTTTCTGTGAAAAACTGCCTGGCAGTGAATTAATTTTTGATGCATAAGACCAGGGCTGTAACTCCATTATTAGACCTGATATTGCCAAGTCATATTTGGAGGCTTAGATTCATTAATTATTCAGGATCGGCAGACTTGTCAGTATCTGACAAGTCCAAATTCTTCAGCTTCCTGAATATAGTCCCCCACACCAAAGAGCTTAATAGCTTATATCACATATGGCAACTTTTCAAGACCAAGTCTTTAGTTACCCTCTGACAAATAGTTTTACTATTCTGACAGCTGGACAGGGTTCTTCTTTTCATGTCTGTTTCACATCTACTTTAAAACATCTTAATTACTTCTTTATTTGCATATCCAAATGTACTTAGGCTACTTTCCATATTCTAGTTTCCAAAATGTGTATTCCTTCAGAAATGGATTAGATGTACCTTAGCTTTTCAAGTTAAAATCCAGTGATTTCATTACAAGAAAATAGGGTCCTAAAATAAAGTAAAAAGGAGAAAAAAGTACACATGGACTAGCAACCAGAAATCCCAAGAAACTGGATTATGTTGACTCTACATTTTTCTAAAAATCTTTTGCAAAGACGAGGTCTCATTATGCTGCCCAGGCTAGTCTTGAACCCCTGGCCTCAATCAATCCTTCTGCCTTGGCAGCTCTGTTTTTAACATGAAGCCACATCAGCAGTGAAAATGGAAAGCAAAAGAACAACAGTGACTACATACGTTGTGCTGTTTTGCCCAGTTCTCAGCCTCAGAGCCCAAGGACACAGGCAGAGCTGAGTCTCTATGGAATACAGTGTCCACAACTATAAACATGGGAGATCAGCCTATGTTGCTCTCATGAAGTAAGGGGGGTCTGGGCTGTAGCCAAATAGTCTGGGTTCAAATCTCAGTTCAGTCACTTCTTTGGAGCTTGCTGCTTCCCCTCTCTCTTCTCCAGTTCCCTCCAATGCTCCAAAGTGCCTGCTCTCAAGGCTGTTAGGCAGATGGAGTGAGTGAATGCATGTCAAGCGCTAGAGTAACACTGGGTGCCTGGGCTGCACACAGTCAGCGGTTAGCACTAACTGTTTTCACTGTTTTCCTACTCAATCCATAAGATCCTCAGAAAACCATTCAGAAGAAAGTGGACTTCAAAGAGATTAAGTTATTACCACTGTAGCTAATGGTGATTTAGTGCTTGGGCTAACATCCATAGATTAATCGCATCATCTTCACAACAGCAACAGTCATTTCCCCTATTTCCTGAGGAAGATATTGTCCTAAAAAGGGGAGGACCTCAGATTCTTTTCCTTTTTTTCTTTCTTTTCCTAATTTTTTTTAAAACAGGTTCTCCGCCTGTCACCCAGCCTAGAGTGCAATGACATGATCACGGCTCAATATAGCCTCAAAATCCCAAGCTCAAGTGATCCGCTCACCTCAGCCTCCCAAAGAGCTGGGATTAGAGAGGTGTGAGCCACACGCCTGGTTCAGGACCTAAGATTCAAACTCAGTTCTGCCTGACCCAAATCCTGGCAAGAAACAACAAAAGACTTTTTTCAAGTGGGAATTTTGAAAACACCATTAAACCCAACAAGTAACTTTTTGAAAATGTTCTACTCAACAACAGGAAGTAGAATAAAATATTTGAAATTACCTGAAGAATCAACACAAACTTCACATTTAAAAATTATGTTTTTAACAGGATTAACTCTCACCTGCTACTCGTATATCACAAGCTAAAGCCAGTTCAAGACCACCACCTAAAGCGAGTCCATCTATTGCTGCAATCGTTGGCACTGGAAGATTAGCTGAAATTGAAAGAAAAATTTTATGCTTCCTTAATAAGATCATTATCTCACTCTGTAATTCATTTTAAATTTCTTTCTGTGAATTTATGTTTTAAATGGGAGATCATATACAGACTTTTGCATCCCTTTTACCTTTAACAAAATATAACCATTTCCTTCATTATTCTTCAAAAACTTTATATAATTACTGTACAGTGTTCCACCATATGAATGCACAATATCTTTAAACCCTCCCATATTACTGAATGACTTTCATAAATATTTTTTTGTTTTGAATTGACAGAATCACAGTTCTATGATTTCTTACTCTTAGAGCCAGAAGTCTTTCACAAGATGTTTGGTTCACAGAAAGTTCAAATTGAAATGACTTAACACATAATTGTGAAATTTAGGATCCTTTATGGCCTACTTGAGTGCTAAGAATGACACAGTCTCATTCAAAGAAGTGACATCTGCTCAAACAAGAAAGAAACTGTCCAAGTATTTGCTGTGGCATTGGCCCATGAGCTGTCATTTAGTGAGGAGCCCTAACACTGTGACTGGAAGCTGGAAAGCAATCAGGCTGTTCCACTTCAGAGGCAAGATGCCCTGAGAGTCTGCTCACAAGCATGCCTGGAGAAAGGTCAGCCAGTCACAGAACTAAAAACTGAACTTTCTTGAGTCTAGAAACTGAGTATTATTTTAATACAACTTTTGTAAATTATGACATACAGATTTCATTTTCATAACGAGTTGAACAACTGACTCGTTTTATTCGTTATTCTGTAAAGCAGAATTCTTTCTATTAATTTTATTTCTGACTATGGGAATGTGACCCTAGGCTGGCCAACGTTAATATGTAACAGAAAGTGGATTTTAAAAAGGTACTATCCCCCAAAATCTCTTTCTTCCATAGGTATTCTGATATGTGAAATATCCCCAACAGAGACTCCCTCCTTGACTCCTCCTAAAATATACAAATTTGCTGAAGTACACTGAGTCTTACGCATTCACAAATAAAGGATTTCATCAGAGTTATTCGAAATCAAGCCTGAAAAGGCCAAGAAGGAGCACATATACGCAGCTGCCATCTGAAGAACTTCCAGAAGAGCAGGTGTGGAAGGGGCTTTTGCACAGGCAGTATTTCACTAACTGTACCTGTTTGAACATTTAGGGGTTGGGGTTGGGGAGGGATTTGAAAGGACAGAACAAATTCAAAATGCGCTTTCCAGAACACTTTGTGAAAAAAAATAACAGCTATGTCAGTGTTTCAGTCTGGAAATTAGTTTAATGTGAAAACAATATCTAGTGAATTTTATCTGGAAAAAAAAAGTAAAATCAATAAAAATATAAAACAACAAGTTAATCTGAGTGCTTCCCAAGGTCATCCTGAGCTACTACAAGTAGAATGTAATGACTTCAGTTATCCACTCTCATATCCTCTTCCTTCCTAAAAACCTGCCTAGAGATCATCTTATTTCTAGACCTCCTCAATCTACTATCTCTACAACCTCAAGTCTCACGCAACAGAAGCCTTCCTTAGGCCTTGCTAAGGCCCTCCAGCTCACCCCCTTTACAGACCAGCTTCTGAAAGTAGAGTAAATCCATGTCACTCATACCCATTCGCCTCCAAACCACCAAGATCATTCTTGCTCCAGTTACCAATGACATTATAAGACTGTCCTAAATATAACGGACAATATTCAGTATCTATTAAATGTACTGCCTCAGAATATCAGACACATCCATCCTGGACACTCTCTCCTTGAATTCCTTCCTTCACCACCTGCTGGGTCCCTCATTTTTCCTGCCTTTCCATCTACCTCTTGTGATTTCTCAGCCTTCTTCCCTTCTCACTATAAACTCTACCCAGGAGATCTCAGTCTCATCCACAACTTTTACCATCTATACTATCAATGATTTCCAGATCTCTACCTCAAACCCAAATAGCCCCTTGTTTGTTGGACATACCCACTTAAATACTTTATGGTGTCCAAATCATTTCTTCTCAATCCTTCTTCTAGGTTGTATTTCAGTTAGTAGCACCTCCAATCACCAAGTCAATCAAGACACTCAGAAGTCATCCCAGATGTCCTCCTTTCCAATGCCCTTTTCCACTACCCAAGTTCTGGGTCCCATCATTTCTCACCAGCAGGAAGTACCGAATTAATCTCCTTCACCTGCAATCTGCCACTCTTCTACGCATCTTCTACATTTCCTGTAAGGTAATCTTTCTCAAATGTAAATATAGTCACGCTATTCCCCTATTTAAAACTGTAAAATGATTTATTCTAGCTTCAGGATAGAAATGGTGTAAACATTAAGCATGGCACAAGGAGGTACCCAGAACTAGGTTCTGCACACCTGTCTCATCTCTTCTGTAACCTCAGACAGATATTCTCTTCCAGCCACAACTCCTTAAAACACTTCAAAAAGTCTCCATTCAAGACTCAATACCTGTATACAAGGTACGGCTCTGCCTAGAATGCCTAGCTAGCCCCTGCTTGTCTCTCAAGCCTCAAATGTCCCTTCCTTATGCTTCCATGGCACTCTGTGCATACTTTTCTATCAGAGAATTCATTACCCTACTCCCCATATGAGACAAAAATTAACATTACGTCAATGCTACTCAATAACGTCCTTACTAATCTGGGACAGACCTCAAGGTTTTTCACTGCCTCTTCCCCCTCTATTATATGAAACCCAGTATTTTGCCCACTTTTCTTTTCTCATTATTATTAACCTCTTTTGTTTAATAGTTAAAAAAACAAAAGAAACATATGCAGTCCTATGGAACTAAAGAAAAGAAAAACTGCAAAGGGTTCTATGCTGGAGAAGAGCGGAAGCCATTTATCAAGTAGCTGCTGGGGGCCGTGATATTATGAAATACGTATTTGGTCTTTGTCCCTGTTTCCAGACATACAGCTCTTAAAACCCTTAGAATCTCTGGAGGGATAAATATATCTTTCTTATTTCTCCAGTATGTTTATACTTTTTAGAATTAATGAAAATTATTTTTAAGTCTGAGAGTTAAGAATTGGAGCCAGGTACAGTGACTCATTCCTGTAATCCCAGCATTCTGGGAGGCCAAGACTGGAGGACTGCCTGAACACCAGGAATTCAAGACTAGCCTGGGCAACATGGTGAGATCTCATCTTGATTTTTAAAGAAAAAAATTTGAGAAATTAAGTTTCTAAAGGGGATGAAAATTGTATCCCCTTGAGAAACTTAGCAATTCCAGGGCCTGTTTCCTTTTGTGCAGGCTCATGCCAGGGTCACTGCACAAGGAGCCAGTCTGGGTACCACGAGACACACCAGAGGTGAGGACTGGGGGCCTGCAGATAGGAGATAGGAGCGCCAAGGGCAAGAAGTCTCAGGCACCACATGCCTTACCACTTGTAAGAAATATGTACACAAAATTACAAGAAATTGGGGTTCCACATCCCATTAGAAAAATGGGATACTAATATTTTCAAATCATTACATAGGTTAAGCACTGGTACTTTAAATTATTCGTTAACATAAATTAGCATTGTAGAAAGCTGTCTACAAAATATTTCCAACTAAATAATTGAGTAAAACAGCTTCATTAGGATTCAGTAAATAAATATTAGCCATTTTATAATATTAGAAACTCTAAAGTTTTACATCATCCTAATTATTCCTTAAAAGATGTCGTCGTAGTAAATTTTACCCAGGAAATTATGCATCATCTCAAAGCACATGCTAGTCTCATAGTTACCTGATATATGTGTGTGTGTGGTTTTTTTTGTTTTGTTTTTTGTTTTTACATCGAGTATTTCTTCTACTTGGTAGCAATTCATAATCAAAGAGGAGCTGGGCACAGTGGCTCAGCCTCTAATCTCAGCACTTTAAGAGGCCGAGGCAGGCAGACCATTAGAGCTCGGGAGTTCACGGCCAGCCTGGCCAACATGGTGAAACCCCATCTCTACTAAAAATACAAAAATCAGCCAGGCGTGGTGGTACAGGCCTGTAATCCCAGCTACTGGGAAGGCTGAGGCAGCAGAATCGCTTGAACCCTGGAGGCAGAGGTTGTAATGAGTCGAAAGTGCGCCACTGCACTCCAGCCTGGGCGACGGTGCGAGACTCCATCTCCAAAAAAAAGAAAAAAACAATGCTAGTAATCATAGCGGGAACACAATAAAACACATCTTTAGAAAGTAAATTATGAATTTCAAAGATCTAAAGGAATAGCAAAATGACAGTTGTATATAAGCACAAATAAATGAAACAGAAACTGCAAATCCAATGAGCAATGGCTATTCCCAACAGCAAGAGGAAGAAATTATGACTCAGTAGGTTATGCAACCAATAGGATCAGATACTATTTTGAGTTTCGTACCAGGAAATGAGCCAGGTATGACAAAGAAGATAATAATCCTTTGAAACGCTCCTAAAAATATAATTAAAGCAAACAATTGAACAGTTTGCTATTTTGAGAGAAAAAAAGCAGCTGTAAGGAAGGCCTCTGGTGCACTTGAGTAGTCTGCAGGATCTGCGGCCTACAATAACCGGAGTCAAGGGACTATCAAAGCGGGGAAAATTGAAGTATCTACTCTCAGCTCTCAAATAAATACAACACATAATGTAGGTTATTTGTATGCTTCTAGAAACATAGAAACAATTTGACTATTAAAGAAAAATGTTACTGTCAAATGCATGATTTCTAAATTTGCTTTTTTGCTTGAAGAAGAGTGTTCCTACAGAAAGCAGTGAAATCAAGTATTTCAATGGAACGGCCCTACGTAGTACTATGTTAGCAGTCTAAATATTAAAATATTTCAAGAAACATAGAAATAAAATCAAAGTTAACTGAAAATTACAACGAATTACCTTCCATGTCAGCTAAAATTTTACCTTCATCCTAATGCATATTCTCCCACTCCCATCACTGAATTTAAAAAAAAAATTACAATAACAAAACAAGCCCTGAGTGAAAAATTCAGCAATACATTATTTTAATGCACCACCAGGATATTATTTCCTTTAGCATCTTTAAA